CTGTGGAGTTGCAGTCCATTTTTAAATTGTGGTATAGCATTCGTTATATGATTAGAAAATCCATTCTGTTATCGATGGACTGTTGAATGGTTTCTCAGGGCTATTATAAAATAATGCCATTATGAACATACTTGTACATGCCCTGGTGGACATATGTGTGCCTGTATGGTGGTTAAGTGCCAAGGAGTGGAGTTGCTGGGTCATAGGGCAAGCATGTGATTTGCTTTAGTAGATACTTCTGAGTTTCCCAAAGTAGTTATACCAACGTCCACCCCTGCCAATAGTGTATGAGAGGGCAAGGCGCTTCACATGCTTATCAACCATTGGTATTGTTGGGGTTTATTTGGTTTTTGTTGTTGCTGGATTTATATTTTTCTTTAGCCATTCTGGTATATGTAGTGGTATAAAATTATTGTTTTAATTTGCATTTCTTGGATGACTAATGATATTGAGCACTTTTACATTTGTTTACTGTTTGAAGATGTTATTTCGTGGAGTATTTGTTATTTGCATATTTTGTAAAATTAGATTATCTTTTTATTGCCATGTAGGAGTTATTTATATACTCAATGTAATTTGTCAAATATATGTATTGCAAATTCTGTGGGTTGCCCTTCGGACTCTTAATGGTGTACTTTGATGAGAGAAGTTTTAATATGGCATAATTTATCGTCTTGCCTTAGCATTAGTGCTTCTTTTATTAAGTCTCTGCCTATCAAGATCAGAAAGATATGCTATCTTCTAGAAGCTTTCTTTCACCTTTCATATGTAGGCTTAGGAGTTATCTCGAATTGATTTTTGTACATGGTGTGATGGGATCAATATCCTTTTTTTCCCCCTTTAATATGGACATCAAATTGATTCCACACCACTTATTGAAAAGACTATACTTTTTTAACTGCATTGCAGTGACATCATTATCACCAACTCTAAATTCCGTATGTTTGGGCTGATTTCTGGACACCCCATTCCATTGATCTATTTGTCTAGCCTTCGGCTAATATCACTTTTAATTACAAAGCTCTATAAGACTCAATATCTGGTGATCTAGTCTTCTAACTTTACTCTTCTGTTTTAAGATGGTTTTAGCTATTTTTAACTCTCAACATTTCCACATAAATTACCAACCCTCTCCTAGTGATGAATAAAAAAAAAGAAAAAAATTGCCAATCCTCCCACTTTACCTCCCTCTCCCAAACATTATTGGGATTTTGACTGGGATTATGTTGAATCTTTAGATCAGTTTAGCAAGGATTGCCATCTGAGCAATATTGAGTGTTCCAAACCATAAACATGGTATATTGCTTCAGTTTTTATCATCTTTTATAATTTTTCTAAGTAATGGTTTGTAGTTTTTCCTGTATGGAGCTCTTACACATCTTCCATTAGAATAATTTCTAAGTATCTGATGGCTTTTTAAAAATATTAACATAAATAGTATCTTCATTAAATGCCATCTGTGTGTTGCTAAGCTTATACCAAGGTAGTTGATTTTTGTACATTGACCTTTCTTATCTCCAGTGACATCCCTAAAGACATTAATTCTAAGGGTTTGCAGATTCTTTTGCATTTTCTAAGTAGACAATCACATAGACCATGAATTACTTTTATTTCTATCAATCTATCCCTCTACTTTGTTTTCTTGTTATGTTTAAGGTTACAGATTTTTTTATAAAAAATACTTTACCTCTCATACATTTTAATGTATTTTCAAAACAAAGGATCATTAGATAGTTGAGGACACTCAAAAATGAGAGAGATCAAACCAAAAAACAAACAAACAAACCCTGAAAACTAAGGAAGTTGAAAGGGACAATAAAGGGGATAAAATAACACTTAAAAATAAATATTTTTAAAAGTCCTGAGAAAAATAACATATTGAGTCAATGAAACAAGAACAGTGTGCTGAAAAAAAGTTAATACACAGGGTCAGAAAATAAAGTTATGAATATCCCTCAGAAGCAAAAGCAAGATGTTAAACAGAGGAAATAAGTTCACAATGTAGGAGATTCAACACCTGAATAATAGAAATTCTAGAAAGAGAAGACAGACTAAGGAAGAGGGAGATTATCAAAGAAACAAAACACTAAAGACTTGACGAATTTCCAGAATGAAAAAAATGAATAATTAACACAAAGAATGAAAAAGATATAATTCAGTGCTCATCACAGAGAAATTTCTTAGAAAACTACAGAAATAAAGAGAAAATCCTAAAATCTTCCAGAGAAAAGAGTATTCTGGATTGACCATCAGAACAACTTCTCGTCAGCAACACTGAAAGCTAAGAGAGCGAAGCAATGCTTTAAATATTCTGAGAGAAAACTTATTTCCAACATAGAATTCTAGACCTAGCCAAAATTTTACCTCCCAAGTACCTTTTCACAGAAAACACCCAGAAGATGGGTTCACCAAAATGAGTCAAGAATGAAGCCAGAACACAGAAGATTCAACGTAAGAGAAGCAAAGGCAAGCCCTGAAGGACTATGCAGCGCACCTGACCAGGAACTAATTCAGAAGGAAAAGGGTCACAAGAGAGCTCTCTCCACAGGGAAAAGAAATATTAGTAATAGAACAGAATATCTGAGTATGTTGAACAAATGGAAAATAAAACATTTTTACAATCCTGTGGCACATTTTTTAATTTCAGAAAGAATGAAAAGTTGCACAGGAAACTGTCATCATGATGCACTAATTGTTAGCTGACCAGAGAATAAATGTCATAAGTTAAACAATGGATATTATTCTAACAAAAAAATTTATATATCACTATAGTAGAAGTATGGAAAGGAGGAAACTTAAGTGGGCCTCTTCCATAATAGCAAGTTCACAGAGAATGATTAAGCCAATAAATAAAGATGTAGTAGAACACAGCTGTCCTTTAAAAAGATGGAGGTAAATACCAGAAACAACTGCTCAAAGAGTTTGGGGAGAGGGACTCAGGGGTGGGATAGAAGGGGGTTAGAAAATGCTATTTTTCATTCTGAGCTTTGTAGTATTATTTGAAATATCAAGTGATGTACATGTATTATTAGATAACAATAAAAAGTACGTATTTTTTTCTAAATAAGGCAGGGTAAAGATAGAGACCTGAGGCAAAAGGAAATAATTTGAGTATTTTTTTTCTTTCTTTGAACATAGTATCTTAGGTTTAGGCTAGATCTTGAAATTAAAGACAACAGAGTCACAAGGATGTACATATAAACCATTTCTAGGCATAGCTAGTAATTGATAATAAAGTCAAAGAATATTTCACAAGTAAGTATATGATAAAATGAACTCAATTTTGTTTAAAAAGAGGGGGAGTGTTCAAGTATACATATTTTACATATATGTGTGTGTGTGTGTGTGTACACATATAGAAAGATAATATACCCGGCCTATAGCACATACTTAAATATAAGAAGTCCTGTTACTTTTGGGATTATTCACTTGTCAATCTTCCTTTTTCAATATCCAAGGAAATTTCAGCCACACGATATCCAATTGCATTTAGAATAAAAAGATGTAAAAGCTACCTATAGGAAAAAAATATTTAAAGTTTTTAGAAATGTTGGAAAAACTATAGGCAAAAAATAAGAAAATATATTCAATTAAAACTCTAAGTTTCAAATATTTGTAACTCAACACAAAATCTGTAAAAATAATTTAAACTATAAACTTTAATAATATAGATACTAATTACACTTTTTATTTAAAATTTTATTTATGATCATCTTAATTAAAATAAATTTAATTGTAAAAACAATTATCACAGAATAATATAATGTCAGATACTTTAAGTTCATGGGACCAGCTATACAAATACAGTAATTATAGTACTCAAATCTTAGGATCATATACATTTAATATACTAGATGTATGCAACAATAAAATAACTCCCTACCTTGCTTGAAAAGTTTATAGAAGCACTTTTCATTTTATCAAATACAGGGCTCACATGAACCTACAATAAAATTTAGTAGTCTGTTCACGTGTCAAGGAACAAGGCTAAATAACAAATGAATCCTTTAAAAATATCCATGAATCAGTGCAATTTTCTTTTTGAGTATAATAGGCCAGAGACCACTGAAGAATATTTAAAGGCTGAATAGAACCTAGTAGCAATGAAGTTAAATAAGGAGTGTGGGAAGAAAACAAATAGTTCAATATTAACAACACAGTATATTTGCCAGCACAAATAAATCAGTGTAAACATCTTTAAAACATGAATAGTGAATTTAGTAAAATGTTATACTGTATCTAATTATATCATATATCTGACGAGAGTGCTTTCTGGAAAGTATTTTTTCTGTGGTGCACAAGGACTTTAAAGAAAATCCAAAGATACACTGTAAGAAAGTGCTCAGAAAATGTTTCATTGAAAAAATGCCCACAATTAGCAATGCTACTTGAGACAGGGCCTTGCTCTGTTGCCCAGGTTAGAGTGCAGTAGTATCACCATAACTCACTGCATCTCAAACTCCTGGGCTTAAGCGATCCTCCTGCCTCAGCCTGCTGAGTAGCTGGGACTACACCACACCCAGTTAGTTTTTGTATTTTGTGTAGAGATGGAGTCTTCCCACGTTGCTCAGACTGGTCTTGAACTCCTGGCCTCAAGCAATCCTCCCACTTGGGCCTCCCAAAGGGCTGGGATTACAGGCGTGAGCCACCATGCTCAGCCAAGCAATGCTATCTTGCAGTATGGTAATGTGAAATGGTATGGTAATATGAAATATAAAAAAGAACTAGCTAATTTTTACTTCAAAACCTGAAGCAAAAAATGCAGAATGGTGAGCTCATCACTTTATATATCTATTATAACTATGAATCATTGCCTTCAAAATATTCATTCTTACATTTGTTTTGGATTGCCTACTATTTGACAGGTACTATACTAGGTGCTATATGGACACTGATGAATAAAACAAATAAGGTTCTCTGCAAAAAGACAAACCTTGGTCTAGGAAGTATTCATTATATCCTTATAAATTTAAATAAACATGGTTTTTGAAATTAAAGAGAAAATTTTTCCAAAAAGGTAACTTTCTGAGTGTCTATGTGTGTATATATAGTCAGTCAAAATTCCAAAGGACCATAGGTACTTAGAAATGCCAAACTGCTAATTATTTCAGTTGATATTATACTTATCTCATGAACTGTACTTCTTGTGCATTTTCCCCAAGGTACATTCTTACATGCAAAATGTTTAAAGCAATGAAACAAACATTACATCTGTTCTTGCAAACACAGTCTTAGCAAAATATGGACCAAGTTCCAATTTTTTAATCTGGACAAAGACAATTTAAACCAAGCATATCATACATCTGAAACAGATATCCATCACTGAGTCAGCAAATCTGGGCAAAAGCAACTATGACTGAATATAAGGCAGTTGTAATTAATCTTCATCGTCTCGTTGAAAAGGTATGACCTGAATTTCTTTGGCTATCCTTTCTGCTAATGCTCTACTATTTGCAGCAATTACTCTTCGTGACATCAAATCAAATGGTCCACCTAAAAGCAAATCAAGTATGGAAAATAACTGTTATCTGGTACAAAAATGATTCATACAAAACAAGCATTACCAATATGTATTATGGTCAATTATAACATTTTAATACTTTTAGTTTTCTTTCAAAAAAAAAATCTACTCTATCACATACCTACAATGTTTAAGCTTTGGCAGTTCATAACCAAGTTTCTAAGCACTCTTTTTGAGTAAATACTAATTGGCAAGTTAAGGGGGAATCTCAAGACATACCAGTCGGAAAATGTCATCTTTTCTTTTTCTATTTCTTCTGTTGTGCACTCTTATTACCTCTTTATTGTCTGAGAATCTATGGACAGAAAATTTGACTCCAAGGCATTTTCATACCACTGTCCTCATTTCCTTCTTTCTTTGTTGCCTTTCTCCTAGACCACTGGTGAATTCCGTGAGCCCAGGTTCACCCTTCACTTTAACAATTTTACCATCAGCTCAAAGTAAGTATTTAACCTTTCTAGGTCCAAGGCAGAAGGTGATAGTAGAAGTCACCCATCATTGACTATCAGGTGCAAGAGCTCTGGGTGCAAGCCTCAGAATCAGTGACTATCTAGACCTCTCTGCAGTCTCTCAGGAATTCCCGTTACTCACATTTCAAAAGCCTTCGCCATTTATCATTATCAGTCCCACATTACCATCAGCTCTTACTCTTGCCTTTATCACTTAATGTTTGTTTTGAGTTTGCACAAAATTACATAGCTTCTTTTTGCCTTAAAAGCTGAGGTATAACATACACCAAACATTTTTTGAAAATCCCATATACGGAGGAAAGTCCAAGAGATGTGGGGAGAAAAATGCTTCACTGTCCCATAATTTTACCTGTGACATCCATTAGCACTCCACCAGCTTCCGTGACAATCATGCCAGCTCCTGCAACATCCCAGCAGTGAATTCCCATTTCATAATATGCATCTGCTCCTCCAGTTGCCACAAGGCACATATTAACTGCTGCTGTTCCAACAGTCCGGATCCTAACAAATAGCATTTAAAAATAAGATTGGAAAACAATAATCCTTTAAAACAAAGAATTTTATTTTTACTCCCAAAAGAATTAACTTTAGTTTGAGTATTGACTGAGATAACTTGGACCAATCTAGAGGATAAATGTAAAAAAAGGTGATATCTGATTTTAAAATGAAGACACACAAAATCTAATTATCATGATGTACTATATAAATCACAAAACTAATCCTTACAAAGTAATAAGGAGATAAAAATTAAAACAATGATTTTCAGAAAACAACTGAAGAAAATGCTGTAATTCTATAATAGCATGCAAGTATATTCCTATTTGTCTAATCACAGGTACTACAGCTTATTTTATTCACATATACACACACACATTGCAATGCAAATAGTCTCTGTGAGACGTAAAATATCCTGATATTTTCATTCCCAAGTGGGTGTGCATCATACGTGTGCCGAAAGCAGCAACAGCAGGCCTGTGCTCTTCATAAACCTAGGCCTGCCTTGGAAGATTACCTCAGGTTTGCCCTGTCATAGCATCACTTCCTTGCTATGAAACCAAGTCAACACCAAGTTAAGAAAAATATGGATACTACTGAATAGCAATTACAGTAATAACTGATTCAGAAAAAAGTCATCAATAAATGCTAAAATTAGTGAGTGAAAGTTTGATATTTACACAATGTCAAAGTCTCTCCACAAAATACAGAATAAGTACAATGGGAAAAATGGCATTTTTACAATTTCTACCCTTACCGAGTGATCAAAGTTAGTATTACCCATAATGGGACAAAAAGTCACCATGTGCCTCCTGATACGGCAATGAGAAGGACAGAACATTACTTCTATGGCATTCCTGCCAAATTCATAATCCAAACATAATCACGGAAAAACAGACAAACCCAAATCAAGAGACGTACTTCAAAATAATTGGTCCATACTTTTCAAAATGTCAAGGTCATAAAATACAAAGAAAGATTAAACTGTAGAATAAAGGAAGCTGATGAGAAATGACAACTAAATGTAGTGCATGATCCTGTATTAGATCTTGGATCAAAATTTGAATAAAATCTCTATATTAGGTTATGTATCAATGCTAATTTTATAATTGTACTGTGGTTATAATAGAGAATGTTCCCTTTATTAAAAAAAGAAATACACACTGAAGTGTGTATTTAGAAACGAAGGGTCACTATGTCTGCAAGTTACTTTCAAATGGTTTTTATACAAACTCCACTGTAATTGTTTAAACCTCTGGAAATAAGGCAGTGAGTTCTGTTCACTAACAATCTTCCAGTTCATTTTTTTTAAATAATGGAAAATTGATGACTAATGTAGTATTTGCTTAGTATCTAAAAATAAAAATGAAAAAATTGCAACTAAGTACATCTCCTATGCCAAACCAATTTTTTTAAAAAGGATTAGAAGGGCATGATGTTTTTAATTTGGAAAGTTTTCCTGTTTATGTTTCTGCTGTACATCAAATTTAAGAAGTAACTACAAGTACAACAAATTTCCAACATATGTTTGTTTCTCAAATAAAATCAAATTAATTTTATTAGATTTTTTAGTTTATAAGAAAGGTGCATTATCCCCCTTTTCCACATGAGATTTGTGATTGTTCCTATCTCACATTATAGAAAGCAAATAACAAGATTGTTCACAAATAATCCTGTGGTATTCTGTTTAGACAGAATCCTAGGCTACCAGAACAACAGTGATACCTGCTAGCGGTGCTTCTGATTACTTCTAATGAATATCACGGGCTCTAAGGAAAGGGGTCTTGTAGTCAGCAAAAGTGTATTTTTTTACGGACAAATATTACCAAAGGCTTATTAAAATATTACTTAATTACTAGGTAATTACAGCTATGCTCTAGAATCTGACCATGTATTCCGAATCCTTTCTTACTCTGATCCTCCTACAAAACTAATATGGTATATAGTAAAAAGGACACCTTTGGTGTCACAGAGATTTGTGTTTGCATCCATACTCAGCTGCTTAAAAGCCATAGGCTTGAAAAAGTTTCTTCTTTGAGTTTTAGCTTTCTTGTCATCAAATGGGGATACCAACTTACCATAGATCACTGTTATAATGACTACAAGTAATATATGTAAAGCCCCTAGCAGAGTGCCTGTCATATAACAGGTCCTTAATACAAAGTAGCTATGTTTATGAAGAAATCATCTTCTAAACCATGCAAGAAAATATTATATAACATAGAACATTTCATCTAAATAAATTCCCAAAAACTATACAAAGGAAAAGGACCCACAATAATTTACTTTGTCTCATAAATGTTATTTACTAGTTAGGAACCTACTGGATAGCCTCCATTGTTTAAGACGTTTATTAAAATTATGACTCTCTTTAGTTTCATTTTGTTTTACATACGTAATTTTGAAATCACATGGAAAAACTGAAGAATCAGCTGAATGAAAAAGATCAAAGAAATCAATAAATCAGTGCTTCTCCTTGGTAATATTTTCCTAGACATATTTCTTTAAAAATCCTGAAATAAAATTACATTCTACTTCAGCCAATAGCAAAATGAAAGGTTAAAGTATTAAACCACTTGCAGCTCTTTTATGGCTAACACAACTGTTTTATTGCCCATGGCTAAAGTCCTTGCTTCAAGACAGCACACTGTACCTACAAGTTTATTGCTCTTCCCACAAGGACATCATTCTGGGAGATTCTACAGCTACTTGACAGCAACTCTTTTACTTTACTCACTACTGTATAGACCACAGGTTTATAGCCCATAATCAGTTTGTACAAAGGTAAAACCATACTCTGAAGGTCCTGACTCCTAAAAGAGAAGTCTAATATTGGAGAAAGAAAAATGATCTGGAAGCTAGGGTTCTAGTAATATCTCCATCTAGCTGTGTGATCTCAGGCAGCCACTTCACCTCTCTGAACCTTAGTTAACTCATCAACAAATTAAGACTGGCTTAATCTTTGATCTTTGATAAGTTCTAAGAGTTTTATAACTCAGTGATGATATTGCCAAAGAAAAGGTAGGAACAGTTGGCAGTAAAATAATAAATATCTGTTTTAAGTCGAGAACAAAATCTGTTGCGTAATAGATTTTTATTACAGTTTTTCACGCAAAACAACTACACTAAACGTCAGAGAAATGCTACTTAATATAGCATTAACTATATTAAAGTTAATGACCTCAAACCTCTAGCTTTTCTTAAAAACTTCAGGATAAATATAAAGTATTTGTTTTTAATTTCTTCACTTATAAAACTGTCATTACAGAAGGATTCTGAGGTTTGGAGCATAATAGTGGCATGCTGATTTTGAAACTCCCTATGAACCTCCTGAAAAAAATATCAATAAGGAGGACCAATAAAACACATAGGACCCTTTCCTTCAGCATTTTTAGGAAACAGAAAACATGAACTCTCAAACTCCCTGCAAGTAGAAGGAAAGGCAAACAAACAACTGAATTGGAACAGAGCACTGCAAGCCTATGGATGCAGAGGGTGAGGGTGAAGAGGCAGAAAAGACTTCGTGACAAAGAGCAGAGAGGACCAGAGAGGACCCAAAGGGAACATAGACAGAACCACTCTCAGAAAGAGCAAGCGAGACAATAAATACAAAACTATTGAACGCAGATCAGGACTTGGTAATTCACAGTCCAGGCTGGAAAACATGCAGAACCTGACCAGGCTCCCTCAGGGAAGCTGTGATTCTGGAGGAGAATCACATAAGATAAAAGAGGGGGTACCTCTGGGAGATAAAAAGTGAAGGAAAAGTGAGAAATTAAGGACCCTGCAGAAATGAATGAGAAACAAGACACGCCAACCATAACTGCACCTACCACTACTACTTAACATATTTATAAAAGAAACTGCACAGAAGTGCTGAACTGATAAAATAGGGAGCTCTGAAACCAGGAAACCTGTTCACAGAATTAATAGAAAAAAGTAGCCTATATCCACACAAAATGACTGGAAATATTAACCATTTCTAATAAAAACGTTTTTGTTTTTTGCTGTTAATTCTCTCCTAAAAACCAACAATGAAGCAGAAGAAAACGAAAACATCCAATCTGAATTAAATATCCTCAAATATATGTGTACATGGATATAAATGGCATATCAGAAATACAGAAACTATGAGCAGAAATGGGCCAAAAAAAAATAAGAAAAGATGATTGATCTCAGGAAAGAAATTGGGGGAAAAAAAAAAACAAACAAAATTATATCAGAAGTGAAGAATAAATTACAAGGGACTAACAATGAGATGCAAAAGAAAACTTAATAAAAGGGAATGAGGAAAAGCGATAAAAGAAAGAAGTAAAAAGGGACAGAGAGAAACAGGCTGAAATGGAAGACATAACAGAAGTGGGACATTCCTATTGGTATCTCTGAAGAAGAAAATGGTAAGAGAAGAGTACTAATATTTAAAATTATATCTCAAGAAAACTTTCCAGAAATAAAAAAGACATGAATCTACACATTGAAACAGAAAATTGGCCCAGAATGAGAAATTCTAGATATATCCTTCTAAAACTATTAGCCAAAGAGTAAGGAAAAAACAAAGAGCCTCCAAGTAAAAGATGAAATAAATGAAGTAATGTAAAAGCCAAGAAAATTAGACTGGCATCAGATTTCTCGAACACAATATACAAAGAAAGGCAATAGTGAAGCAACATTTTCGAGAAATGTATACTTTCTTTCATTAAGGATATTATACACAGCCAAGCTGTCTTCATATCTCAAGGCCACAGTAAAACAGACTGGAATACTCCCGAACTCAGAGAATACTGTGCACATAGGCCCTCCCCAAGGAATCCACTGGAGTATGAGCTTCCTCCCATTAAGAGGTGAGTAGAACACTGTACGAAAGGACTGTGAGCATTTTATAAAGTCAAATGAAGAATGGGTTGAATATGTAAAAACAACATGTTCTGACAAAGTAGAAAGAATGCAACTTTAAAATGGGATAAAAAGAGAGGGAGCAGAATTAAGAGAGTAAAATCACTGACTGT